ACAATGTCTTCTTCAGCTACTCATTCTTTAAAGTGTTTCAATTTGAATTTGCTTGGATTTTTTTCAGTATGGAATCACCTTTTCTTCAGAGCAGTTATGGCTCAAAGTCTCTGTAATCAGAGAAATTTCCATTCCCTGAGCCATGTGGCTGAGTTTGCTTCCTACTTTTCAGGTTATTTATGAAGGAAACTTCAGGAAAGTTAAAGGAAATTTCAGTTTGTTCTTGATTAAAAACTCACAAAATGATTTTTTTTCTGCTAAAACATTATTTCACTGGCAAATGATATTCCATTCTATGGTCTAGGTTTAAATCTTCTTGTTTGATGTTAGTGTAACCTAGCATAGAAAAGCCTAGAGTAGACTCTGACAGTTAAAACTACATCAGTTTTCATTAACAATTGGATTTCTTAACCACAAGCTGGCATCCTTAACACAGACTTCACAGTTTGATCCAAATAAACCATTTCTCTGTCTTTGCTGAGCACCAATAGATGGATATTCATGGTGGTACACAGATAGACACGTTGCTACCAGTGATGAATTTCAACCTGAACCAAAATAAAAGACATTATAGAGAAAAATCAATTTTCAATAATCAACTGTATTCCTGATCTTATGTATGCCAAACCACTCTTTGAAGATGATTTTTGTATATGGTTGTGTTAGATAACCATAACCATTCTTACTTACTCTTACTATAGGACCACTGAGAGAAAGTTTAGAGAGGACAATACTTAAAAAAAAATTTGGTTGATAAAAATGGCAACATTTACTAAGTGCTATATGCATTCAGCAGTTTTCCAAAGACCTACAGTTTTCACCAGAATATTTTTATGAAAAAGTTATATCACATACAAAAATACTGTCCCCTTTGAAGTGTGAGTTCTCTTTGCATGCTGCATCTAGTAAAGGAAATACCAGTATAATTTTGTAACAGGAGTAGAATAATGTATTTTGCCCAAAATACCTCAGAAAAAAAAAAAGCAAACTGCTTGGGCTATCCAAACAAATTCAGCCTGAAGAAAACACCTGCCATGCCCATTTTTAGATCTAATACTTAAAGTTTGACAAAATTTAAGGAGAATCTTCTTTTGACAAAATCAGAACAATAGTTTTGCCTTTATTAATATCTACTATCTTCTATGCAATTCAAAATCTTGCCATTTTAACGGACCAGAAACTTTAGATGTAAGTATGTACTCCAAATGCAGAATATGTGAGGGGAAGAGGAGGGGCAGGCACTGATCTCTTTTCTGTTGTGACCAGTGACAGGACCTAAGGAAACAGCCTGAAGTTGTGTCAGAGGAAGTTTAGGTTGGATATTAGAAATGCCACTGAAACAATGGATAGACCTCAGCTTCAAATATGTTTTTAGTCCAGTTTGATCCCTCAAATAAGGAATTACAGGTTAGGATATTGGATTGATTTCAATCACATTACTGCAAGTTAGGTGCGAATTGAATGAAGTATCTAGATGCATCATAACAAAAAACTAAAAGCTGAGAACAGAATAAGATACCCCGAATTATACGGTTCCTTTCTAGTTAGATAGTAATATCAGCTAGTTCACACCTCTTTTTCCCAAATTTATGCTGATATTTTTGATGATATAGTGCCACATATAAAGAAGGAATTAAATTACCCCGGAGTCATATGTTCCCCTCTGCTGTGATTCACATAGAGGAGCTACAACATAAGGGAAATGAGAGTGAAGCCTCAAAGCAGAACAATGATGAGGACAACTCCTTGAGAACATCATTGGTCCTCTCCAGCAGTTTCCAAAGGTGTCTCCCCAGAAAGCCATTTTTTTACTGCTTCTTTGTTTGCAGAATGGGGACTAGGACAAGACACTTGCTGCAAAAATTGTCCCCTACCATCAGCCTATATCAGCTACAACCAAGGTAGATTCAAGGACAACAGAAACAAGGATCCCAGGCTTTCCTTTACTTTTGTATCCCCAAAATCTGGAGCTTGCTTGTCTTTCCATTTCCTTTTTCCTCCAGTCCTTCTACCACAGCAAGGTAAACATCAAAACCAAAGTGAGTCTCATATAAATATTTGACTACTTTTCATATTCCTACACTGAAGATGGATGCTGGTACCTTCTCTGCCAGCATTTGGCTTGATGTGTTTAGAATATTTAGGAAACAGCTTGTTTCTCAAATAGTGAAAAAAAAGCACTGACAAAAAAGGAGTTAGCAACCATGTCATGTGTTTAACTCATGCATGCCATGACTTCTTAAGTCTCTACAGTTGACAAAAAAATGTAAAAGATAAGGAAAAGCTAATAACTATATGTCTGTTATATGACTGAGAAGAGGATCTGCAGGATCAGTAGAGACAAGGAGATCATGGCAAAACGTATGAAATCTGTTTTGGGGCTAGACATTACTTGAGATTTTTCTTTTTTAAATCATTGCCTCAGCTAAGGGTCTGCTGTTGACTCAGGAATTCGCTTGGTCCCTCCTAGGTTCGTGTGCCCATCGTTTTATTCTAAGATTGCAGGCAACATTATTTGATACCTTCTCATAGATCTGTATTTCTGACCGTATGCATAAATGTAATTTATGTTGCAATTAACATTGTAAAGATAATAAATATTTGGTTTAGACTTCGTTATGTTAGGCACGATAAAGTGTTTTTACAATATGAGATGCATTTTGAAATATGAAACTAACAATAGTATCAGCTTTCATGAATGTGTAATTTTGAAATGAAAAACATTAACAAAGGTTGTATTGGACACCAGCCACTATAAACTGTCAGTTTCTCAATAAGTATGGCAATTTTCAAATAGCCAAATCTCAAAACTTTCAGACTTCTTTGATTCTCTCAAGACAAGAAATTCGATTGCCACTCAACTGAATAACCACCAATCCCTTTTGCTGTTCACCAGCAAATCTTTTCATATGCTCACCCAGCCACCATTTTCCTTATCACAAAAACATATCTTGCAATTATTTTAGCTTTTTACAAAAATCAGCATTTTGATAATACAAAAATAGTTTTCTACTTAGTTTGTTTTTCTAGGGCTGAAGAAGGTTGTTTTACTAAAATGTCCTAAGTTGTTATGCTTTGCCCCTCTCACACCTGAATTCTTTTTCAGACCTCAGAATACTATCAAAAAAGTGATATTTGAAAATAGTTGAATTAACAGCAGGCAACCAGGAAGAGACAGATTTCACGAAACAAAATAATTCTTAAAATAGGAGGAAAGGAGCTCTGGTACTTAGAAAAGGTTCTTCACACTGGAAAATATAATATTTGGGTTGATAATTTTTTATTTTTCCACTGAGTTTTTCTACCCTCCCTCATGTTATTTTTAATATACATTAACAGAACACAAAATATTATGTACAAAGATCTGTTTTAATATTTTACAAACTCATTTACAAAGATGCAGCATACTCACAGCTTCCATGGAATCTAATGGGACTTGTGGAAACCCAGTATCTCCAAAAATCAGGCCATTAATTTTGAAAATGTGCATTAATTATTCTCTAGACTGTAATAGCTCACTTGATATTACTATAATCTACATTCTTTTGAAAAAGTGTATTTTTAAGCTGGTACACTGCGCTTGCTCCTAAAGAGCAGTCATATCTTATCATGTAAAAGCTTCTTTATAACTGATCCAATTATTGACCTGTGGCATTGACCTTAATGAAATGTAATATTTCCAAAGGAACGGTACAATCCATTGTGTTAATCTGGTTGACAGATATACTCTTGAAAGCTTCATGCTAACAATTGCTGCAGAATTTATCGAAATAATTAACTTCATGAAACACAAACCCGTGTATTTCCACTAAGCAGTGAATTAGGTAGTTTAAATTTCCATTTTCTGCACTACAACTAGACTAGAGTATGCAGTAGTATTTGTAGAATTTGCCAAAAAACACCGCTCTTTTCAAAAATATTCTGCATTGGTAGACTTTCAGATCCCTTTAAACATCTTCCTTCTAGACCAAGACCTGCCACACTGTGTTTGTGATTTCCAAATACTTGCAGATTAAGGAAAAACTGATATTAGTCTTAACCACGGATTCTAACAATAATTACTGTTAGCAAATAGCAAAAGCCTATCAGGTAAGTACTCCCACTTGGAATAATTTCAGTTAGGATCCTTTGCAGTGAATGCAATTTCTAGGATAAATGTTATCTTTTCTGTATGCCTATATAAAATCCTTTTTTTAAGTAGTGTCACTCTCAGCTACCACATTTGATGCAATTTAGTGCTGTTAGATGCTTTCTTGTCATGTGGTTATAGCTGGGTAGATTAATAGGAACTTCTATATGGAAATTTCTTTCCTGTTATTGTTCTCCCTGAGCAGTTGATGGCTAAGTTAATTCTCTTTAGTTTTGTCATGCACTAAAGCACACATTGCCAAGCTATGATAAGCTTTACACTGGGAAAAAAAAGCCCTTGTGTCCATCAAAGTCTTAAACTTGCATTTTAAACTTTGGCCTGACCTGATGTGCCATTTAAAAAGCTTCAAAAGATTATTTTTTTAAGAAAGGTTCAATATGTCCCGAGGCTATCGGTTTTGAGTTAAACTGGGTGAAGTAGAAATATTTTACTCGTCAGCTTTGCAGTCACAGAGTTTGCCTCAGCTAGAACAAAACTGCTGAGGCATTTAGAGAAAATTAACCCCCCATCCTGGCAGCCAGATGTGACTGGTTTCTGATGAATGCACATGAGTGGGCTGAAAAACCAAGAGACTGTGAAATTCCTGTCAGGTCCGTACAGCGCAGAATGGGCTATTGACTGCTTTCTATATTTCCCTCCATCATTCTTCTTGAACACTGCCATTAATTTCCTCTCCTGCTCTGACTTGGGAATTTAATTTTTTTCCTGTTTGTTTTTTTCCCCCCTCCTTCCTCCCCCCACTTTCTTGCCTTTTCCCACTACCCCGACCCCCCCACTGCTGTTGCCATGGCCATTGGTGTTGGCGTTGCCGCTGTTGGCGCTGCCGTTGGCGTTGCTGTCCCAGCTGCAGGCGCTACAGAGGCGGTGGAGCAGGGACTCACTGGCTGCGTGGTGGAGCCGGAGCGGCCTCTCCAGCCAGGCTGGGCTGGCGAGGATCCAGGCAACCTCTCAGGAGAACGCTCAGAAAATATTAGCTGTGCAGGTAGGTGATTGCAGGGAAGTCGGAAAGATCATTCTGATCTAGATTGAAAAGCAAATGATGGGTAGTGTGATGAAGCATTAAAACCATATCCCATCAGAGTTTTATAAATTTTTAACCTCTTTAATAAACTGGAATTGCATGAAGGATGAATTCAGTAAGTTAGCACATATACCATGCATAGATTGAAAAAAAGAGGGGGAGATTAGATTTATTTCTCTCAAACCTTTGAGAAGATTATTATAAATACATTGAATATAAATATTTGAAACACAAAGTGGCATTGCTGTTGCTGCTCAGTTGTTTTAGAAGATATTATTGTGTCCTGTTTTGTGCAAATATTATTTCCGTGGTAAACAATGTTGTCATTTTCACTGTATTTGTATTTAATTTCTTTAGAAGGAGGCTATTTTTTAGAAGTATTATACCTTCCTAACTCAGTTATATGGTGATTTTCCCCTATTTGTAAAAGAGCAACATTATGGGGATATGAGATTTTAAAATGGTTTCCAACGATGTCTGGTTTCTCATTTTATGTCTTGTTCCTCAGATAAATATATTTACTAGGGAAAATAAGTACTACGCTCTAGAGTTAGAATGTTCCTGTTCTTTTTGTCTCGTGCTATGGTATCTTATTTATATTTCTGTAAAGCCACTCCTTTCAATCTCTTCCCATAGTTAATGGCCATAACCAGATGGTGTTCTTGAAGGGTTTTTAAAAGACTTAAGTGAAATATTTCTTCAGACTTACTCCTTGCAAAAGAAGTTATATTGCTGATGTAGCTGTAGTGCAGCATACTCTTGCAAACTTTGCTGTCTAATTTGTAACAGTCAAGATTTGTTGTATGATTCTGGAAACAATTTATTACATTTTAATATTATGTACTTATATTTTGCAGTTAATATCTGATGCATTAAAGTAAAATCTAACACGAATAATTTCTAGAATATCATTAACTTGCATCAGCATATGATGTCTTTTCAATATCTCACTAAGAGGATTTTTGTTTCAGAATTTCAAATTTCCATATATGTTCTATGGAATAGTGTATGTTCTACTACATTTTTTTCTACTTAGGCAAAAGATTTAGAAAATTCAATCATACTAAAATCAGAAAGTCAAGGAAAACAAGTAAAATAAAAATATAATCAGGTTTTTATGTTAGTAATGATTTTTAATACTCTTTATGGAATACTATGGAACTTTGGGATTGCTACATGTGCTAAATACTGCACTGACCTCTGTGCCAGGGGAAACACCTTTTTTCATTCAAATTCCTCATTTAGCATTTGAAAAACTGGAAAAGCTTCTTTTTGATTTTTGCGGGGTTATGTCTGGAATGGTTTCTGTACTCTCTTGTGCCCGATTACTCCAACAGAGAGTAGATGAACAGGGTGACCTACCTGGAGCTCAAAGCTCGTGAAGAACAATAGCGGTGATGCAGAAGCCACAGGTGGCATCTGGTTTCCTCACGCACAAATCTTTACATGAATCTAATGTTGTGCAATATTTTAATAGCTGTACTGCAAACCTCATCTGCAATTGAACTCCTCTGTCAACAACTAGTCCATGTGACAACAAGTAAGTTTTGCAGAAAACCTTCACCTTAGCGTATGTTTTTCCATGCATGCTGTTCATGTTGAGAAACTGTGTCTGTAAATCTTGTCTCATCTAAATCTTAACTCAACTGGCTACAAATGGGCCTAGACTAAACTTTTACGCATAACTCCCAGCAGCATTTGGGGGTGTTCAGATCTGAGTAACTCAGATCTTCCAAAAACAATCTCTTGTTCAAAATGTTGAAAACTTTCTGTTCCCTATCTGTTTTCATTATCCATGACATCGTTTTCTGATATTCTAATCCTTTTCTAGTATTCAGATAACTTTAGTATATTTTTATGCAGTTTGGCTGGTAATAACTTACAACTAAAATAATGAACAAGAAAAAAAATAAAATTAAAATGGAAAGTATTTCAGCTAAGAGAAATTACAAAGGCATGTGGAAGAGTATTTCCATTCAGCAAGGTGATGTTTTTATATTTTAGAGGTCTTGGCAGTGGTTTAATTGTATGTGAACTGATGTCTTTGTAAATCTATGTTATTGTCAGATCAATCTTGATCAATCAATTGCCAAAAGAATTTCTGTCAATTAAGTTCTTATACTGATGACATTCAACACAGTGGCACACACTTCCAAAATAAAATCCGACCGTTGTTCCTCCCGTTGCTTTTTCCCTCAGCCAGAAATATGCAGAATTTGTTGTTCCTAGTGACCGCCTTACCTTAAAGTATGAGGATGGGAACACACTGATAAGTGCGCGGCAAAACAGTGATTCCTGCTCACAAGAGCTTGTGTCCCAGCAGCTACCTTGACCAGAATAAGCAGGAGCAGGTGAATGACAGAAGAGTGCATTAGGAGAGGCAGTAGATACAGTACATTGGCTGCCTAAGTGTTTTCTAATATTTTACAGAAGCCGTGACCTGGGTGAGATCCAAAAAGAGACTTAAAAGTAGATAATGGAGGAGGTTTTGGCCTTTTCACCATGTGCTTTTTAACTAGCAACACTCTTCAGTTATACAGAGCAGCAGAGCTTTGTGAGAATTGTGACGTGAAAATAAAGAGCTGTCTCAAACTGAAAGACAGATTTGACCAGAGTTCCATCATTACTTATCAACACTCATAAGTTTAGTGACATTAACTGATTTTTTTTCATACAAAATTTGATTTTGATTTCTTTTAGGAATCTTTTATTTCAATCAAACATTTAAACATATTTTTTCCTGGCTTTTATCATGATCTTTGTAGCCATTTACCTTTTTCAATATTTAATATTTGCATTGGGAATAATTAACTGATTACTTAGTGTCTGTATGTTTTGTGAATATACTTCTGGCAGAAAATGAAGTTTTAAAATTGAGCATTTCAATTGTGATGTTAAAAATAGGGATTAGATATTCTTCCATACTAATAGCAAAGAATAAATATGTTAGCAATCAAACCAAATGTTAGAGTAGAGATCAATAACTGAAATTATTTATACTTCCACTTTTGGCTTTCATCTATTTCATATTTTTTCAGAGCAAAGTGCAGGGCTGTTTCTTGAGCAAGACTATTTAATCTTCTGATGCTCTACCCTTTTTCTAACCATTTCAAATTTTAAAAATTTCTTTAATGAAATCTGACTGCAATCAGTAGCAGAGAAAAATTACAATCTAGAGCTATTTTTTAATTTGAGAGATAATGCTAAAAGTACCCTGGAATCACATGAGCACTGCTCTGTTCTTTTCATTTGGGGAAGTTTACATACATGCACAATGGCTCTGAAAAGAGACTTTGTTGTTATTGTGGTAGTCAGAGAAAGATCTTTGTTCTCCATTATAGATGGGCTTTTCAGGTATTTTACTATCACTGTCAGTACAGTTGGTATTCTATGGTTTGCTGGAGAATTTCAGTCTTCAAAAATTCTTCTACAACTATGAAATAAATTTTTAATCCAGCAAAACATAATAAAATTGATCTATTTAATTTTTAAAACATTATAAAAATGTAAAATCTTTTGTCCCAAAAGTGTAAGGGCAAGGTATTTCTTATGTTAATTACTTTTGCTTTTCCAATAATGTTTTGGAGTTTCAATAACCTGGCTCTTGAGTAAGTTCAATTAGCTATCTAATTGCAAAAACGATATATGATGGCAAATGTAACTTTAGTTGGGACTGTACCTGTGTTTTAATTCTGACAGTCTTCAATTTAGACCATCTTTTTAGATGATTTATCTTGACTACAGTTATGTCAAAATTATGTTGAGCGTCAAAGTACTACAAAAGCAGAGTATCACTGCTACTCTCATTGTAACTTTGAAGGCTTTTGTACACACTTTTCCTGATGGTGGCATGGCAAAGGTAACATTTTAATAAATGCAAGATCATTGGTTTAATTTTTAATGGATCAGCACCTTTGCATACCATATTCTGATAGATAATCAGAATTTAGTGTTTAGAAACTCCTTAGCTGGTAGCAGTATTACACATTTTCATCAGGTGGAAATAGGTACATAAGGCACCAAGGAACGAAGAATCAACCTGGTGTCTGTCACTCTGACTGCAAAATGCTGTGATTGTTTAAATTTTCTAGAGTTTTACTCAAGTTGTTTGATTACCCTGAAATCTTTAAAACATTTTAGCAAAGCTGTTGTAGCTCAAAATTCCACTGTACTGAACTACACTAATGTACGCTAGAAAAGTGTTTTGGTCGGTTTTGTCTTTATCTGAGCAATTCTGCAGAGGTCACCAGAGAAAGAAGTGACTGTAATTTACTAAGGCTTTGAAAGTTTGCTGAATCTACTGCAGTCAACCCAGGTTCTCTTTTAAGACCTTGGCCTTGATTCTTAATGCAGGAAATATTTTACTGACTGTGCAGAATCTGTGGTTTTAATGACACCCTGTTTCACCTCCTTACAAGAAAGACAAGTGAAATTCCACTAAAGGCAGGACCAACTGGAATCCTGCATGTTACAAGCAGGTTTACCCTTTTGCTCTCTGAAAACCACACATTCTTAGCTTGCTTCTTAGCTGTCAGATGGTAGTCCATTTAAGTACATCTTTTTTTCTCTAAATTATTAACACAGGTGTGTTACGGTGTCCCTCAGGGCTGATGCTCTTCAAAATCTGTATGCCTTCTCTTTTATTTTTCTCTGTTATGGGTTGAGTTATCTCCATTTATGCTGATTGCACTCAGTTGTGTCTTTTTTGCCTGCTGATTTCAGTTTAGCAGTCTTGCTGTTTCTGCCTTGTCTTGGAGACATATGGGGTTGGATGACAGATAATGTTTCTTAAGGGGACATGGCTGCACACCTTTTAATTAGTTCTAAGCTTTTGTGTTTAGTCACATTTATTCATAGAAACCATTTAAAATGCTGAGGTTAAAATTTGCTGGGTTTATCATTAATTTATAAAATATTTATCTTGTACAGTGCAGAGGAATTAAGATCAGCTATTTTTGCTT